TCGTTTAACCATTTACTCTTTAAAGCAGGACTTACTGCAGCTCAATTCGCCCACAGTGAGTAACTCCAGAGTGTCCATAGGAAGCTTCTATTACTACCAAATATCCATAGATGTCAACGTTGCTTTTGCAAAATTCACGAGCATTTTCTAACACACACACCCAACCACAACTCAAGCTTTCATCACCTTCAAACTTCTCAACGTAAAGTGGCTGAACGATGTGCCATTTGTGTCTTTCTTATTAAGAACTGTGTCTTATGACTAAATATCAGTCTTTAGGTTACAAAGCTCACCTTCTGCTATGACTACTGCCTGCAGGCTGAGTAGTTTCCCAGGTAGAAAGTTTGTTGTCCTTCTCCAAATGCTTTTGTGTGTAATCACTTAGCTGTCAGAGCAAGTAACTATCATCTTTTGAAAATCTTGACTACATTTTTCATAAAGTAATTATACATGAATGAAGTCAAAATAGAAACAAAAATAGGAAGCTTGTTTTTCTTAAGACACTCTATGTACGTTGAACACTGCCTGATTTAGAAGTTGGGTAGAATCTTAAATAAGCTCTTAATGATTGAGGTTTATACAATGCATTTGCCCTGAAATAAGTACTTGTGTTCCTATGTCACCCATTAATTTGGGAACTGTTACAAGGCCTTAACAACCTTTTTTTATGTTCCCAATAAACAAGAACACAACTCAGCAGATAGCTTTTCTCCTGGTATTGTTTTATTAGTGTAGTAGCTTTATGGTAATGATTCATTCAGTGGTTTATTGGCAACACTGCAAGAAACTGTGGTTAAATATCTTTCGTGATATGGTAATTTGCAAAACTGAACCTCTCTGATTTTGTACAGTGATATAAAGCAACCAAATGACTAATAAGTCACTCTCCTGACTTAGAAGTCAACTTTTCCTGACTTTGTATGGTTTTCCAGGAGGTGGAAAGAAGTCAGAATTTCCATTTTTACCCATAGGTACTAGGAAATGGCTGGTTGCCTGTCAGTGGCATTTTATTTCCATGTGTGATATAACTGCAAACCCTACCTTGGAAAATAGAAAAACATTTTGTAATTGGTACCTATTAACAAGTTTCCTTCAGCTGCTATAATTAATTCAATGCTTCCTTCTCTTTAAAAGTGACACCAGATAACCCATAACCGACCAGTTTGCTTTCTCTGATAAAAGCTTTCCATTTTTCTTTTAACTTTCCCTGCTCCCTCAAATCAGCCTTGCTTTCTCCCTCCTTTCAATGCCGTGTACCTGAACCTAAGACTATTACATGGTCTGAAAGCTTTGAACATCAGCACTGTGATCAGCCAACAGAACAGTCCAATCTCCACTCTGTTCAAATAGTGCTTTCCTGTCTTGTCTGGGAAATGCGTCTGCCAATTCATTTTTCTCTTCTTATCAGCAAAACACATATATACTGTGCTTGTGTTGCTTAATATAAAACACAGGGAAAATCCCTGAACAATCAAACAAGTTAGAAAACCTGCCCAGGCTTTTGCTTTCATCCTAAAGGACATAATTGTGTTTGCAAATCCAAAGAGCACCGATTTTACAGGTGCCAGTCATCAACAATTATTAGTCCTGTCTTATTTAAAGACAGGACATTTATCCCACACTCAGCATCTCTCTCCTCTGCATCCTCCATCCTCAAAATCTGGCTTATGTGCTGATCATCTTGGACAATGGTTGCTCATTTATATTGGAGAAAGCAGTAAGGGCCCAATCCCCATCCTTTCCAAAATGCTCTTATCAAATATCGTACAGTAGGGTTTTCATATCTGTCATTTGAGTGAGGCTATTTGACACCTCTAAATCAGAACATTGTCTGTTCATGGCTTTGGTTACTTATGTTTTCAGTGTAAAACAACATTTTTTAAATGTTTTCTTTCTGTTTTTGTTTTTGTTTTAGTAGTACTAGGGTACATACTCATGACCTCATGCTTGCTATGCTGACAGTTTACCACTTGAGCCACACCCCCAACCCTTTTGACTTTTTTAGGTCTTTTTCTGGTAGGGTCTTGCATTTTTGCCCAGGCTGCCCTCGACCACAGGCCTCCTACTTATGCCACCCATGTAGTTGGGATAACAGGTATGCCCCACCAAGTCAACCAAAAAGCAGCATCTTTTATTTTCTGGTTATACCCAACATAGAGAACAGGGGAACAGGAAAAGTCAAATGTGTTGTAATTCTGCTCCTCAGTACTTGAAATTTTATTTCAGAACTGTGAATAAATCAAAACTGGTCCAAAGCGTGAACCACTTTGATTTGCCCTCTGCCCTGTTTCTTTGCCTATTTTGTTTTGCCCACTATGCTTGTTGGAGGCTGGGACACAGGGAAGAGCAAAAAGGAAAGAAAGTGAAACTTTCCCCATTGGCAGCATAGCAATGATGTTCACCCAGAGGCATTTCTTTAGCAGCTACTCTGTCCCCAACATCTGCTGAGGTGTACACACGAAAACGTACATGGATCATAGCATTGGCCTATGCTGTGTGGACTCAAATTCTGATTACACCAATTACTAGCTCCATAATCTCGGGCAATATTTAATCTCTCTCCTAATCAATAAACTAAATAGAAAAGCCCCTATTGCATACTGTTGTAGTGAAGCCCAAATAGTTTAATGTTTGCAAAGTCACAACACTGACATTTAGTAAGCACTCAATATTAGTGATTTGTTTTTTTTTTTTTCCTAGTACTGAGGTTTGAACTCAGGGCTTTGCACTTGCTAGGCAGGCCCTCTGTGGCTTGAGCCATGCCTGCAGCCCTTTTTTCTCTGCTTATTTTGGAGATAGGATCTTGCTTTTTGTCCAGACTGTTCTGAATCATGATCCTGGTATTTTACACTCCCTGCTTTTGCTGGGATAGCAGGCATGCACCATTATTCCCAGGTTGTTTCCATTGAGATGAAGGGTTTTGCCCAGGCTGGCCTGGAACCACAGTCCTCCCAATTTCATCACTTGTATAACAGGCATGCAATATCACACAGCTATGTAGAAATGGGGTCTCCCTAGCTGTTCTCTGGGATGACCTCAAACTGGAATCCTCCCTATCTCAGCCTCCCAAGTAGTTAGATTACAGCCCTGCTTTTATTTTTACTGTCCTTGCACTGCAGACTCCTGTAATCCAATTAGTAAAGAGAACACACATGTGGAGTTGGATGATAAATTGTAAGTGCAGTAGAATTGTAGGGAAAAATGATAATATAATTAGCTATGAAAACTAGCAGTTAGAGTAGTTTTACCAATAACAAATACTTTTAAATGTTTGTGCCTCTGTCATGAACTCTCTTGGGGTGTTCCCAGTTTTGAGCTCACAAGCCTTTTAAGCCAAATTCCAGATCCCTGGCTTGAATGAACATTAAACAATGTAGTGACTTATTCTTGGCCTCAGTGAAACCCCCCTGGACCAGCATGGCTGTGTGCAGACTGCAATGTGTGCTTCCTGAGGACTCTAGGCATATTTTTGCTAGTAGGTGGTTTTGGTTCAGATTTAACGTGAAGGCAGAAAATAGCAGGGAATATAACCATAGCAAAGAATTGTGGAAGCCAGGCATGGTGGTACACACCTACAATCCTACCTAGTCAGGAGGTAGAGGCAGGAGAATTGAGTTCAAGGCCAGGTCAGGCAAAGTTAGCAAGATCTTATCTGAAAACAAAATAAAGGCAAAAGGGCTGAGCATGTAGCTCAAGAAGCCCTAGCTTCAGTTCTGCAAACACTAAAAGAAAAAAACAAAAAGAATTGTGGGAATGCCATGAAAAGTGAGGCAGACATTAAAGCAAGACTTTCCAATGTCTAATCTTCATCTAAGACCAAAGTACACCCAGCAAATCATAAAAGGTTCCCACTGCACTTCACACTTGGGGTCAGGCACACCCTTGGACACGCCAGGCAACTGTAGCAAGTTAGAGGAGCTGGGTCAGTATGCTAGGAGCCTAGGGGACACAGCCCTGGTCCCAGGTCCAGGACTGGACTTCCAACAGAACCTGAACAAAGTTCCTCTTCTCCTTTACATCCTCAGCTGTCCAATCTGTAAAATGGGCACAGTACTGCATTCTGCATTATGTGACAAACCATGTCGGATGGCGGAAAAAAAAAATTCTTTGAAAACTGAAAAGGGCTGGACATGATAGAATTTATAGTCTAACAAAAAACAAAAACAGAACAAATACAAAGTGAAGCCTAGAAGGAACCTAAGAATATAAAGAAAAGCAGTTAAGATGACTATATGGTGAAAATAAACATGTACCATTGCAAGTATTTGTCTGTAGACTAATACTTACTCAATGAAGACCACAACAGGAAAGAAATATTCACTTCTATTTAAAGTACTAATTTAAGAAATTACATTTAAATGTACTAATTAAGGGAATTCTTCGGGTCTAAAGAAATTCTGTATTGACACAAACATGTTAACATACAAAGATTTTAAGAGAGCCTGATCTGTTTTGAATTGCAAAAGACATTGTATCGTCACTAATAAGTGAGAGCATGAACACATTGTCATTTATTTATAGCCACTAATGACCTTCTCAGGGCAAGATGTTTTTTACTTCAATCCACCATTCAGTCTTACTGTCAGAATATGCTCAAAGCTTTGCTTCTTGCCCTGTTGATGGGGATACTATGCTCAGTGTTATATTTATCTATAACACATGCTTTGGTCAAGGAACAATGATATATTTGAGACAGTGCTTAGTACAAAATAGCACCTTCGAGAGCTATCAATCAACACCTCCTAAGATACCTGAGGTCATCTTGGTACTGCAGGTAGGTGACAGGGACATTATCATGGGCTCATTGAACCTCTGCACTTTAGGGAATTAATGATTATTTGCAAAAATGTCTGCATCTGTGCATGCTAACAGCAAGCCTGTAGCTTTCACTGCGTTCTCAAAGAATTAAGAAGCAGTTTTCAGGAAGGGAATGAGCAAGTGGCATCGGGTTGAATTAAACTTCAAGGGTGTTCTAACAGGAAATCTGCTTCTTGTCTTAGGTATTAAAGTTTGAGCCTGGCCATTTCAAGAGGAGGGGCAGAGCTAAACACATGGCTCTCGTTGACATCCAGTTGGATCACCACGAACGGTGTGATTGTATCTGCAGCTCAAGACCACCTCGATAAAAGAATGTGCACATAACCTTAAGCATGAAAGAAACTTTAGTTTAAGGAGAATGCAGTAAAGGGCTCTTTGCCCCACCAGCCAAACTTGCTACTAGCCTGCAATGCAATAAATACAAGAGGTTGCTGAGGTGACCTAGCTTTGTTAGTGCCATGGCAAGTAGAAAAGTGTATCATCAGCTTCTATATCTCAGAATATAGGACTGCATTTAGTAGTAGAATATAAGGATGTATATGTATACACAGATACATACATATATCTCCATGTCTATGTGTAAATAGATCAAATGGTTTATGTAGGATATATAACCAGGTACACCAGAGCTTACATATGGTTGAATTGTTTAGACTCCTCCCAAAATAAGGAATGTGTCAAATATATGACATATCTCTTTAGGAAATTCAAAAGATGATTTATTTTTAAATTTCTAATCAGAAAACATTTTTGGATCTTAGTCTTTTCAAGAAAGCATCTTGTACATTAAGAGCCAAAAGATGAGCTTTTCTTAAATATATGCCTTAATTATAAGAAAGGAAAAACATGGTTTCTGGGTAAAAGGCAAATACCTAACCATTTTCCCATGAAATGCACTGCACACCAATATAGATCATAATTGTCTGTCTCCAAAACTGTGCTGTACTACGTACGCTAGGAGCTTTTGAATTAAATCATTAAGTCTCTTTTCATGGATTTCATTGAGGCATTCTAATTCATTTAATACCCATCTCAAAAAATTACTCAGTTTTTGTTATTATGATCCTTTAAAAGTTCTAGCAGAATTTTGGATTTTTTTTTCTAAAAACTCTAAGAATCAAATCTTTTTAAGAATGGCATGTGGATTCTATATAAGTCTTTCAAAATGCTGTTCGTTGAAAGATTTGGGCAGGGAGAAAGAAGAAAAGTAAGCATTAACAGACTCACACAACTGGAAATTAGATGAACTATTTGATAGGATCCATGTTTAATAACAGCTTGAAAGTCTCCAAACTCTGCCAATAATTTTAGGTATTTTGCCTGTGTGTTTCTGTCTCCTCTGTACATACACAAGGATTTTCAGTAACACTTCACAATTGTCAAGCCACCATGGATTATTTCTAGCCTAAAAGCTTTTTTGTATTAATAAAACAACCACATTTTATTGATGTAAATCTCTAATAATATCCCACTCACCATTCTGACTTCCTGTTTCTGAACCAGGTGAAATCATATCTGGGGTCTCCTTTCCAGATCTATGCAGCTTATTTTAAGGAGCCAACTGTAAATTGTGAGAGCACAAGTTTGGTGCTGCTAATCCATTAGAAAACTGTTTTGTTTTGGTTATTGATATTTAGAGTAAATTTTCCTCTCTGGCTCCTGCATGTCTGTTTTAAAGAGACTGACTCCAGAAGGAGGAAGTGATTCATCATTCTCCAAAGCAAGAAGCTTAAGAGGGAACACCGAAGTCAAACTCTCCCAGGGGCCACTCATAGAGGATGACATTTTTTTCCTGCCTTGAGAGTAAAAAGGATTGCTGATTTCTTCTGTGAGTCCAGGACCCTAGTGACCACAACCAGTTTGTGTGCAGAATAGGTGCCTGGGCTGGTTAAGTCCAGATGCCAGGTGAGTAACCCAAATATACTTGGATTCTAGGTAAGACGCTCTCAGATCCAAGTTCTCAACTATAAGTAGCTAATCTCTCTCAACTCTTTGACATGAAAGCCTGTCCTTATTGATATGCACCTTATAAAGCTTCCCTAAAAGTTCTGTTTTTATTCAGGGGGTGAGTGGTAAACTTAAATGCTCCATTGTTTAGTTCTTCACAATACCAGAGCACACGCAGAAGTAGCCCAGGCAGACACTAAAATCAGGAACCATTCTTCCCCTTCATGACCATTTGACGGTTTCCTAGGAAAACATCAACTTCCTGTACCAAAATCAAACTGTGTGTTACATTACTCACTCTAGCTTATACAGCTCACACCATGGCTGTAAATATGAAAAGTCAGAATAGTCTACCCAGTTTTCCATAAGCCTTCCAAGTTGCAATAACCAGGATGTTTTTCAGTTTCTGTACTTTTTATTTATTAGCTGAAATATAAGTAGACATATGTACTCACTTTTCCTTCTCTTTCCTGAGTGTTTTATTAAACCTTCTCTCTTGGTTACCTGTTATCTATTGTGCTTCCAACATGTGGTCAAAAATCTGTTTCATTTCCATCAAAGGAGTAAAAAAGCTCACTGTATAAATTACATTTCCAAACAAACCCTAATAAATCCACACCTGGAATAATGCCTTTCATTCAGTATATTCTTATAGGCCAAAACACTTTCATAAGTGGAATTTTATGTGTTTTTTTGTCATATCAGTAACATGCAGCTTTTTCCTCTCATAGCAGTTTCTAGAGCAAGTGTAATATGCCTCTTATCTTCATGAAAAATAAATATTGCTTTTGAACAAAACTACTCCATTATTTAGTACTCGATTGTAGTTTTAAAAGGTATACAGAATTATAAACATACTTTCACAAATGCATCCGACTGTTTGGAATGCCAAGACTGGGTGATTTCTGAGGCTTTATTTCATAATGACTGAAAGAACGAACGCCTGCTCTCAGTCTACAAGCTTCTACTCTGTCCCTGGCTTGCAGTCGTACAGTCAGATGGGACTTGGGTTTTGTTGCTTCATTGTCTGTTCGTTGCTCCGTTTGTCTTTTTTCCCCACAGGCCTTTTAATGAATTACATTCTCCTCTGACATTGCCCACCAAAAAGAATTCCTTCCCATCCTACTTCATACACTTATATGAAATAGAACAAAGAAACCTCTTGCAATTGCTTTAAGTGGGGCGGGGGGAGGGTTTGAAGGGGAGAGATGGTGAGGGTGATCTAACCAATGTACAATATCAGCCTATCCAAATTGTCACAATGAATCCCCTCTATGGAATGAATATATCCTAAAAAAAAAGTGTCCATCCTCTCTCTTCCTCGGGACCTGAAGTCAACAATAGCACATCTTCATTTCCTCTTACCCTCTCCCATTTCTTTCCCCTCCACATGGACACCCCAGCTAGTAAGTCATGAAGCCAAGTTAGGGAGACTAGTTATGGGCTGCACCCTTGAAACATTTGGCTTACCATTTGTGATGGGGCACAGAGCATAAGCAGAGGGCTTCTAGCTGCAATAATTTTTGCTTTTGCTTTCAGTTTATCATTCTCCTAGAGACAGAATAACAGTAGCAGTACTGAGTGAAACTCAGCCACTTTAGCTTAGTGGCCATAAGCTGTTTGGGGAATGGGAGTAGAGATGAATGTATTCTGTGACAAGATCCAGTTTTACCATCAGAAATACTAGCGAATGTGTGATTCTGAGTTGTGGGGGATGGATGGGGAAAGGATCAAACAATTCTGTGCATAACAGTTAACTCAGATAACTTAGGATTTTATGCAAAACATCATAATAACTATATACAGACAGCATTTTAATGCAAATACATTAGGAATTTTATTTCATTTCATAAAATGTGCATGTGCCCAGTTTCCCTCTAAGAATAACTCAACAGATGTCCAAATGGTTCATATGCTCCTAGGATCCTCTGATAAAACATTAAATTAAAATTCATAGATCAGTATTCATAACTAAAATCCTAGGAAACACATTTTTGTTTATTGATAGCCTGATCAAATATGCTAGAAGATAGAATATTTATAATTCACTGACTTTATTGACATTTGCTCAAATTCTGTTGTTTTTAAATATCAAGTTAAAGACTACACAGGCCTTCAAAACTTAACATGGCACACTGGGATATCTCAAAATAGACATGAATGGATAAGCAACTAACTGCTTAATTTAAGGCTTTTTCTTGCCGTTGAGGTTGTATTTTTAAATTTTGCAAATTAATCTGTATCTTTTTAAAATAAACTTCATTTCTGTAAGATGTCTAAAAACCTTTGAGCAGATCAAATTAGAAGAGAATGGAGCTAAATCCATAATGAAGGTTAATTTTCTGAATGCAGCAAGCTATGGGCTAAGAAATCTTCATTCTCTCACAAAATCATCTGACTTTCTGATTATTTTAAATTGTTGCTAGGCTTAGTGGCAGAAATCAAACATTGAAATCATTCTTGGATCCAATTTGCATTTCAAATAATACCTGCAACATAGTCTTTCTTAAGAACTTAAGGCCCTGGGTCGTGTTTCCCAGTCTGTCTCTTTGGTTGAGTTACAAATGCACTTTCTTCTACCTTCCAGTCTTTTCTAGGCTTTCCTCTTCTCCCTACAACTCTCCTACTAGACTCTATCTACCAGTAAAGGTGGGGATCACCTGAGGAGAGCAAACGCACACTTTCTCATGTGAACAATTAATAAGTTGAGATTCCCAAATGTAATCACTTCTTGGAAGTTAAACACATTGTGTCAATAGTTTCCAATGTCGTCCACTTTAGTGCAAACTTCAGACTGTGGTGGTTATTTACTGATATCTATCAAGTGAAATTTAGCCATAGTCAATATGAAAACTGACTAAATTAAATGCTGAGTGCATGAATTCAACAAGTGTATTAAAACTACATATCAGGCATGCTTTGGAGTTCAAAACACAAGTCAGATTAACAACAGAGGCTAAAACCTGAGAAGAATATTCTAGATGGGATAAAGAGAAAGATCAAAGATCCCCTAGAAAAAATGCATAAGGTGAACACAAAGAACTGGGAGAATAAATTCAAAGAATTTCAGTTCAAAGAACACAGAGTAAAGTGGCAGAAAGGAAAGGAATCTGTAGCAGGATGAATAATAGTAACGTGAAAAGAGGAGATAAGCACCTTATTATGCAAAGTCTTGTCCAAATGGTTAGCAAGAAATTTAGTCTTTCATATTTAGGAGATGAAGCCATGGGGGCTTCTGAACACAGTAGGAGCTGTAGGGAACACAGAGAACCAGACAGGAAATTAAGACAGCTTTGTGATTAGTGACTGCTCTGCTACTTTCTGGGCCTAGGTTTTCTCACTCACAAAATCAGGTATGTAAGTTGCTCTATCAGTCTCTCCCAGCAGAGCAACCATACAAGTCTACATTTTGAAAAATGGCAGTCTGCAGGAAGAAGTGGGGAAGTTATAGAACTCCTCAAAGTTGTAGGGGTAAGACCATGAAGAGGAAGTGAGACTTTTGCAACAAGAAGGGATGCCCCCTGCGATTGTGCTGGCAGTGCACTGCAAACTTCCAGAAGCTGCTACTTGCAAGAACTAACAACTAAGAAAAGTTACCAGAAGAATCCAAAGGTTTTAGAATGGGGAAGGGAGTTCAGGCTAGGGGTATACTGGAAGGAGTCATGTGAGTTAGAATTCAAGTGAATTCTCCTGGGAAAACTAGGGAGGTAAAAATAAGAGGCTAATTTTGAGAGCACATTTGTTAGAAGAGGAGCCAGTGATTATAATGCTGACTGGGTGACTGGGAGTCAACATTATAATGACAACCATAAGAAGGTAAATGACAGAACCTGAGGACATCCATAACCAAAGAGAAGAGGGAAAAAGACAAGTTCATAGAGCT